CTATACATATTGACATAAGACTTCACTCTGGAGATTTAGTACCATTCGAAAGAGCAAAGTATTTCTTGTGTTGCATTTTCGTCTGAGACAAATTCTATAAAAGAAGCCTCATCCTGCAAATTGATTTCATTTGGATTGTGTATGCAAGATTAGAAGCATCAAATATGAGGGTGCCTTATACGTGTTTGCACGAAAAAATTTGAAGATTATTATTTAGCTCAAACTGGAAATGGATTACCTTACTATCAAGGAACCATTTACGAAAAGGTTATGGTATGGGTGTATTTTTTTGCAAAGCTGTTTCGCAGTGCTATGCCGTTTTTGATGAGTGGAGCCAAAACAGTCGGAAAAGAAGCTTTGCGGACTGGAACACAAATTGCAAACGACGTATGTCGGGAGAAAATTTTAAAGTCTCCCTCAAAACCAGATCTAAGAAGCTGGCAAAAATTAGCGAGGAAAGCATTCAGAAAGCAGACGAGATGATTGGTCACGGAAGGTTTAAAGGAAGCGCAAAACCCCCAAACACTTCATTCGTCTAAAGCCAGAAGGTGCAACGACCGTGATATTTTGACTCGTAATGGCTTTTCTGTTAAAAAGATTCTCCGGAATGCGCAAAATCCGAACTGGATTTATTTTTCGTTACCTCCCACTCAAACAGTTGATAGAAAAAGGTCAGTGGGTTGAATTTCATCCATTAGCCAATGTGTCGGAAGGAAGTCCTTTTGAATTCAATGTTTCTGGAAGCGGAGACGACTACTTAGACTTATCACAGACACAACTCTACGTCAAAGTGGAAAATTTTAAAAATGATGGCAAGCCAATCACGGCTGAAAGTAAAGTGGGACCTGTCAATCTCTTTTTAATTCTATGTTTTCTCAAGTGGATATTAGCTTAAATGAAAGACTCGTTTTCCACCAGTAATAACACGTATCCTACAGAGCCATGATAGAAAAATTATTGAATCATGTTTTTTTGATACGAAAACGTCTCAACTGTCATCAGAATTGTTTTCAAAAGATACAGCAGGACGTTCTGAACGTTTTTGATATTCAAGACACTCAGCCGAATGAAGGATTCAACCAACGAGCAGAATTGTTTAAACTGAGTGCTTCGGTCGATTGATTGGCCGATTGCACTTGGATATGTTTCATCAGGAAAAATTTTGCTGAATATGTGGATATGAAAATTAAACTCATACGCAGCAAACCAGAATTTTGTTTATTGGGCGAAGGTGAAATTTAAAGTTTTACTCGAACAAGCTTCATTGTTTGTAAGAAAAGTGCGAGAGTAGCCCTGGTGTTGTGCTAGACATCCAAAGCCTAGAAAAATCAACAGCCAAATATCCCATTAATAGAGTGCTCTGCAAAGCCTATTCCTTCCCACTGGAAATATGAGTTTTATTCAAGACAATATTTTCATAGGTCAAATGCCTAATCGTATTGGTGGCATGCGTCGACAATGATGCCTTTAACGGAAACTATAAAATCTCCTTTCGAATTCAAGCATTATAATATGAACTTTATCGGTGTTTATGTGGACGGGCAACCGGACCTCATAATCCTCTTCAGCCTAATTTTGACAAAATCATTTCATACGAGCTTATCAGAATTTATTTATGAATGCAGACGACAGAGGACTTTACCTTTCAAGATCAGAATTTTCAAAAGGATATTCCTTATTTCGCTTCGACCCTGTCACCTGACCTTTGTGATGGCTCTCATTTAAATCTAGTTCGACACAGCAACTTAGATTAGAAATAAAATTTGGGACTCCTTACAACAAACTGTTCGTTATTAGTGTACGCTGAATTGAAAATTTGATAGAAATCAATAAAGCTCGAAATATTCTGTACGTTTGGAAACTGATAATTCATCACAGATTCATCAAATCTTATCTCGAGATCCTATTTCTTCGAGATATTATGCGGGTGTTTTTCCTTGTGATAAAATACCTGCGATTCAAAGTTTTCCCTGTGCATTGGTGCTCAATACGGACAAACATGATGAAAAAGGAACTCATTGGCTAGCTGTCTACCTTGCAGATCAACAGACTCTGGAATTTTTCGACTCTTATGGACTCCCGCCTGAAGTATATGGAAAAGATATCACATCCTTTGTCAAGAAATATCGTCATGTTTGCTGGAACATGATTTCGCTTCAGAGTTTAACTTCTAATGTATGTGGACATTATTGTATTTATTTCATTTTAAACGCTGTCAGGAATCTGTATGAACTCATTGTATCACCCTTAGATGGGAAGAATCATGATTTCCAAATATTTCAATTTGTTAAAAAAAAGATATGGGTGTTAAACATGATTTTTAAAAAATAAAGTTGTTTTAATTTTAATTTGTAAAATGTCTCTTGTTTCTACACTTATTTAAAAAAAAAAATGAATAAATGTCTTTGCAAAGGATTTTCGATTAAGTTATAAAAGTGAGTGTTTTCTTAACATGCGTCATTTCCAAAATGGAACTGCCCATGTTCGTACATCCTTCTACTTGTCTTCTGAGCGGACCTACCGTTTCGGGAAAAACATTTTTTTGTGAAGAAATTGATAGATCATAAAATGTTCCATCCCATGCCGACCAATATTATTTATTGCTACGGAAGTTATCAACCTCTTTTAATCCATGAAAAAACGTAAATTTTGAAGAAGGATTACCATCTAACCCTGCAGACTCTTCAAAAATGCTTTAATTATCATAGACGATTTAATGTCTGAATTAGCAAGTGATACTCGCTTAAGCAAACTTTTTACAAAAGGAAGTCATCACCGAACCTTTCAGTCGTTTTTATAACACAAAATCTTTTTCACCAAGGCAACGAGATGAGAAATATTCATTTAAATTCCCCATTACCTTGTCCTATACAAAAATCCTAGAGATAAAAGTCAAATTATATTATCATTAGCTAGACAAATGTTCCCGGAAAAGTAAAGGTTTTCAAGAAATTTTTCAGGATGCTACTTCAACTCCATTTAGTACTACTTGTTGATTGATTTACGACCTGAAACAAGTGAAACGCTTCGCCTTCGTACAGGCATCTTTCCTGGGGATAAATACTATGTCTACCAGCCCCGATAGTTCATTTCAGTTTGAGACTTCGAATGGCTAACATGTCTTTCTCCCATCGTGATCGATTTCGAAGGTTTTCAATGGATGCCTCATTGACTACGTTGTTAAAGAATTAGCCTTGTATTCTGTGCATGAAGGATATCACAGTTTGCTGGTCATTTTTACCTCCTCAACCTTGGAAAACATTATCACGATCTCAGCAAAAGTGTTTTGCTTGGGTCACAAGAAATCGTCATCACATGAATTGGAGTGAGGGGTTTTACCTTATACTCATCTTTCGTATTATTTTGCAATATTTGTCATCTATTTATTCTGTCATATATACGGAAAGGATTAGAAAAGAAATTATTTTAGAAAATTTTTATTAGGGAGACATCATAAATCTAGACTGTCCTAAAGATAGAGAATTTAAAAAAGAAAAGTTCTTTAACATGTTCGATTCATGCAAAAGGATTTAATTGCTGTGCTTTAAACCAAAGCGGCTGCATTTGCTACCTATATAAAAGAAAGTGCAGGAAGAAGAGTTCATTTGTCATCAGCATGTCTCATCTGAAGGATGTGGATTATCTAAAACTATTAGGAAAAAGTCGAATAAAAGCAGCTGTACTGAAAAAGTGTCCGAATCATCTCATAAAATCAGTTTGTGAGTGTGTTTTTAAATCTTCTAAAAGGAAACGTACCCATCACCAAACGGGTCAAAAATCGACTCGCCCCTTTTAAAAGAACTTATTAAGAAATTAGCGGACAAAAAAGTACCTCTTTTAAGAAAAGACTCTTTTGGTTCAAAAAGGTGACGGTTTCCTATCTTTCCCTGATTCCTGCAGCAGTCAGTGTCTTATCCTCCTTATCCATGGAACACAGTAAGAAATTTGCGCTGGTACCCCTGGATCGTATGCAGCAATTTGAAGATGAACATTTGAGTGATTTAGATACCCCAAATTCAAAACATTTTAAAAAAGAAAATGGATGATGAAGAAAAGTCTAAATTGTACATCCAGGTTCTGCAAAAGTATGTTACATTTCCTCATGTGAACACTTCCGAAGAACAACCGCTTGAACAACGTTCTGAGAAAGATATAGAAAAAGAAATTATGCAAACAGTTTCCTGTGAAGCAGAAAACGGGCACAGAAAATAATAGATTTTCTAAAAGAGCATCAGATTTCCTGGACACAGAATAAAGAACTCATTCTAGATGATCATGTGTTTTCTGGCTCTGACATCATTGTTCAGTTGATAAACTTTCTGTTGAGAAATAGAACTCAAAAACCTTTTGCCTTTGAACAGTTTAAAAATGTACTGAATGTTAACAACTTTCCTCAAGACTTTGTCAAAAACAAACATTTAATGAATGTAAAAACTATGTATGCTAGACCTAAAGAAAACGCATCTTCCAAACTATGGCTGAAATTGTAATGATACGTGAATAAATGTAATGGCTGATCATTGGTGTTGTATTTCTTTCTAATTAAGTTTAACATAATTTTTGAAAATAAAATATGACATTATTTTTTCTAGGAAAAACTTACCTTTCATGAAATCCTTTCAAATAAGAAAAACACAATTTTATCATTCAAACTTCTGTTTATTTTTTTTTTTTTTTTTAAATAAGTTTTCTTTATACACATACAAATGCAATGATTCTGCACATATATATATATATATATATATATTTACAATACAAAATTTCATTTTCAGATAAGGTTCTAACATAAACATAAAAGTTCTTCTTCAATATACTAATGACCATACGGCAATGTGCTCAAGTCTTTTTGAATTACCCGTTTATCTATCCAACACAATTCTGTACAGTTTTTGTCTCGGGTTTATTCATCACCTTTCTTCTCTTCGCTTCTCGGGTGATTTTGGAGGGGTTGTGGAGAGAGATGATCTCACTTCACTTCGGTCGAGGCTGCAGACCAGACTTTAATGGCTTTCAAAATTCAGCAACTGAGGAATTCCGGAAAGTTCAATGAAAATCCTCGGACTTTGCAAGCAGGTTTTCCCAGTTGCCATCTGGTAGGCATAGGTTTTGGGTCCTCCTGACAAAATAAAAAATCATGAGAAAAAAGATAACAGAAAAAAACTTTCAATATTTTTTTGGTACATGTTAAAAAAAAGAAATTTTTTTTTAAAGGTCCTTACCAGAGACGAAAGTTGTAATCACATCACCCTCCAGTTCATCCGTAAATTCACCCAGAAAGTTGCCCAAGGGGGGATCATTGCAACCATTCGAGGCATAGGTAATCGAATCTGTATCGTGATACAGGACGTCTCGATCCAATTTCTCCATTTTACTAAACAGCTTGAGACGAGCCCAAGCTGTCGTAAAGGTCGCTAGGAAAATATTGGTCGAGGCATCATGCAGCACGAACTCCTTCGCAGATTCCCAGCAAATAGCAATCACCTCAGACGTGGGAAGAAAGACATCTTTGATCTGAAAATAGAAGAGTCATGAGATAACAGTTCAAAATAATAGTCATGAGTTAACAGTTTGAAACTCTTTGAGTTTACAGATGAATAAAATCGGTAAGGAAACTTACTTTTTTAGTAGAATCCGCCAACATCTTATTGAAGTCTGGCACCGTGTGGACATAGGTCAGTTGGGCTTTGTTCACGTTCATACCCCATCTGAGTGAAAAAAAGCTATCATAAATCACAACGAATTAAAAATATTTATAAAAATTAAGTACAAAAGAAATCATCTTACCTGCCCCAGAAACTGTTCAGGGCCAACTTGGCGACTTGTCGACGCCCAGGGTTCTTGGAAATCTTTCCAGCGTCCAACTTGACGCCCTCTCTTTCTTCATACTGGCGAATGTACTTCAGTCTGGCTTCTTCTGTCACACACTCCGAAGGCCATCCGCTACTTTCCTGCTTGATCTTCAGAAACAGATCAATGTATGATCTGAACAGAGAAGTAGACGATGCCTGGAAATGGTACACTTCGTAAATCTAGAAAATAAAAAATAAATGTCAGTTATAAAAAGATTTTTAAAAGTAACCTCTGAAACTAAATAAAGATTAAAATAATCTTTGAGTACTTACATGTGTGACGCGGTAACTTTCTTTTCTTTTTCGCCAGTTTTGACTTCCTCCGTTACCCACGTTCCGACAAGAGCTCGCTCGTCGTCTGTGGGTACACGGAGTCTGCAGTTGAAGAAGGGCGCAAGTCCGACACAGGGGGAACATCAGCTTCTTCCGGCACCACCGATAGGGCAGTACCGGAAGATACAGATTCCGTGGAGGAATCACTCGGCATTGGATAATTCCAAAATAATCTTCCACATCTCTAAAGCTTTCCGTGATGATTGTTGGATGTCCCACAGGGTAGACGCAATATACTTGTTCACCTGTGAATGAAAACAAAAAAAGTCAGAAAAACACATCATAAAAAATATACAGAAAATTTAGAAAAGTTTAAGTAAACATTTTTGAAATAATAAAAAGTACGAACCCATGGATAGAGTGAGGTAAAATCCACATATTTTGCGTCTCCCTCGTGGAACAATTTGAGGGCATTGGTCCTTCCTCCAAAAAACGACTCGCGAGGATTGAGTCGATCCCTCAGATGGTGTTGCTCTCCAGGAAAGCTTGGAGATCTGGATTTTCCTCCTTCTCTCTTTGAAATTCATGCTCCCACATTTCGATGACGTGGAAACCCTGGGTGCGAAGCTTTCTTGTCGTCTCTTCTGTCTTTTCTCTTAACGTTGCCATGGAAACCCCTTTCAGTGGATGTATGATATCACCATCGTAACACGAACTACATCCGTGAAAGAAACAGCCCTAAAATAATACAAATATATTAATAGTGTTCCACATGTAAATTAAACATTAAAAGTGTAAAATCATTAAAAAGAATCATATAGAAATATTTTACTTTTTATTTCATTACCTGAAACTGATAGACGGTTTGTGTTTCTTGGCAGAATCCGTCTACCGAGATTCCGGCGACTCTGTGCTCTCCGGAACCGTTCAACGCATGTTGAATCTGTAGGCCTTCCGAAGCAGCAACAAAGTCCAACCATCGGATCGAATCAGGGCTGTAATTCGTTGAGTTGATGTAGCCGTGTGTAGGCACCATGGCAATCGTGTCGGGTTGAATGTGGCCACTCCGATACGTTGCCATACAGGCTGACGCAATGGTCACGTATCTGAAAAGACAAAATAAAACGATTTAATGAACTGTAAATATGATTATTATTGTATAAGAAAATGAGAAAATGACTTACTGGAATGGATCCACACATTCGCCACATCCAAAAACTGGGCTCGAAACTCCAGGCAGCAACGGCGCGAAGAATGTCCACGTCCGATCTATTAAAAGAAAAAATGTTAAAAATACGAAATATAAAAAAAAATAAAATAAAATAAAACAAACAAAGAAGGAAAAAATATACCTGCAATAGGCCAGCATCTCATCTTGAAAGTTAAACATCCCCCCCCTTGTTTCTCATGCCAGGACAGAAATGCTT